ATCCCCACATCTTAAGGATCGAGATCCCAACCTATTGGGAATCTTGAATCCAACCTTTTGTGATCTTGATCCCAACCTTCTATGACCTTGCTCCCAACCTTAAAGATAATTTATTGTCTAGGACTATATAGACTCTTTAAAATAAGGATCTCTCTATGTATGGCCAACAAGCCATGCAACTATATTAATAGTTGATGTTGCTAGCCAGCTATAAATAAAGAAAATTATTAATTTGGTTGTTATCTTGATCTCTAAGGTTGGGATTAAAATCCCTAACAGTAGGAATCATATCCTTAATAGTGGGGATCGAAATCCCAAAATTTAAAAATCGAGATCCCTTGAAGTTCCCTTTCCCAGAGCGCCAAAGCAAGATTCTAGAGTGGAATCGCCATCCATGTAGGGATTTCCCAACAACTATGTTCCAAACCACCTAATGAGTCAATCCCTTCTTAGGAACCAATGTTCTTCCTCTTAAGAACATATTTACCTCCATTGAAACATTGCTATAGGTGACGAGAATTGTTTTTCTTATTCGATAGAATAAGATATTTTAGTTCTAGATAAAGGATAACTTTATGGCCAATCCCTTTTTTTTGTTGATGGATGGGAAGCCCAATATCCTCCATTTCACAAAAGGAATATTGGGTAGTCTGCCAACCCTGACTCCCATAGTTAATGAAAATGCAACAGCTCCCTAGTTAATGAAAATGCAACAGCTCCCTAAGAATATAGACAAGAAACTTGGAGAACATTTTGAACAAACAACTAGAGAGGATGATAGGCTGAAACCATTGATATCTTTGCACCTATGTTTTGAATAAGGGAGATAAATGTGCAATTCATAGTAATATTAATTCCTTCGTGATCAAAGAATTCTAAAACATTATCCTAAGGTCACTTTTGGTGAGAACCATTGATTCAAAAAGCGGTCCATCTAGTGGATAGGCGGGCTAGGGGGGCCTAGGCGGACCAACTAGGCAGTCTATCCTTGGGCACCTGCATAGTACCCCGTCTAGGCGAGCGCCGCGGGGACTGCGCCCGTCTAGATGCAAATATACCCAAGCTATCTAGGTGGGGTATTTTTGGTATCCTCTTATGTTCAGGTTATAAAAAATAGGATATGCATTTTTTATACAAAATCTAGACCTAAAATAGGATTAGAGGACACATCTTGCCCCCTTTTTAACCTAGCCATCTAGGCATCCTCCTGGGCGCTGGGAGGTCCCCCCCCTCGGCAGCCTAGGCACCACCCAATCTTTTTTGGAACACTGGTGAGGACCCGAGAGCACTAAAGGAAGGAAAGAGAAAAAAGGATGCCCTTAATTGTCTTTAAAATATTGTTGGACCCAGGTTGCAAGGATGAAGAGTAGCCATTTGAACATAAACCCAAAAAGCGAGGGCACAACATAAGAGTTGAACACAACCTAAAAATAGTAATAACAACAATCATCCCAACATCTTTCTCCACATGCAGAACGCCATCAACCCTGATGTTGATAATAGTGTTCTCGCATCCTCTTCCATTGGCAATGCTATGGAAAAATCTAATAGTGGATAATAGTAGATCAAAAGCTCACGGGTACGTCAAGACATCTAAAATAATAGTGAATAGTAAAATACATCATAAAACATGCAATACACATGATGCAAACAATGTCATGAAACTTCCTTAATTGCATTTGTTTGGATAGATAATTGCAAGCTGAAAAAAGACACAAATGGCAATACACACAGCAATCATCCATTCAAAGGTTAAGGGGAAACGCAAATTACACAATCAATAAAGTTTAGCAACATAAGCATATATTTTATGAATAAATAATGAGACACAATTCATCAGTCAACTTATATATCACTACTGTGAAAAGTTACAACAAAATGCTAAGTATAAGAACATGAATAAAAATGGGAAAAAGATGTGCGCCTTCCTCTCTATAATTGTAATCCCAAATAAACCTTCAGGTCCATGACAAGCCCATGGACTCCCTCCAAGTTAACTTTAACTACCTCCCACTTTTTCCCTTGTCCAAATTACAATATTTGTCCTTTCCTTTTTTCTAGTGACCTTATCATCTAAATGAAATTTGGAATGAAGTGTTCAAACCACTTGTGAGGTACACAAATGTGTGTGTGTGTGTGAGAGAGAGAGAGAGAGAGATAGGGCTTCAAGGGAGGGAGAGCAAGGGAGGAAGGGGTCCATAGGAGATGAAGAGAGAGAAAGAGAGAGCTTTTTTAGGGTTTGAAAAGAATTGAGGGGATTAAACATCCTTATTGATGCACAAAAAAATAAACCAAAAAAAATGAAAGATAAAAATGAGGCTTGGAGATTATACCCTCTCTCTGGATCAAGGGAGTCCATCCCAAAGATCCTTTCATAAGACTAAAACATTTTCTTTATGCTCCATTCACCATCTCTATAAGAAGGGACTCTTCCCTTTAAATACAAACTTAAAAAGAAATAAATAAAAATAAAAATAAAAAAATCCAATAAAACTCACTCTCTCCCACATTTTTCTCTCCCTCTCATGTAAAATCTCCCTCTCTCAATCTCATGTGAACCCCCTTAAAAATCTCTCTCTATATCAATTAAATAAATGTGGGAGATTTCTTTTACCCCCCCCCCCCCCCCCCCCAATATCTTACTTATAACCACCCATATTTATCTTCCTATCTTAAAATAGAGTAAACTTTCTAAGTTTACCCTTAAAATATCTACAAGTCAAAAATATAAAAATCTAAAAGTAGTAAAATAAAAGTTAAAAAACCCACTACACATCACTTTTCCTCCCAAATTGGAGGGGTTCCATGGACTAGGAGTTTATTTGGGAATATAATTACAAGAAGGGCTGTATATGTGTTTTATTCCCAATAAAAACCTTTACAAATGAATGTTTCAGAAACCAAAATAGGTGCCTAAAATATCACGGGCAAGGGTCATTGGGGCAGGTTTTGACCAATATTACGGGAAAGAGTTTTCTTTTTATGAGACAAACAATAAAACACAATATTGATTTCTCCAATTTTCATTATAGTGTGCAAAGGCCGGTCCATAACATCAGCTAGAGGTAACTCATCGCATATAAAAATAACTCTCTCAAGCGATGTGGATGATCTAGTTAACTTCTTAATCTATTTATTATAGTTCAATCAAATAGAATACGGCTATAATAAGCAAACATATAGGTCATACTTGTGCTGTGTGAAATTAAAAAACCATGAGACACTAGGCATAGAGAGAGAGAGAGAGAGATTGTTTGTTGTAGCAAAAGAAGCATTGCAATTTCATGAGAAAACTATGTGTAATTATTCAAAATACAAGCTCATGTACATAACAGAAATTCACATAAAATTGAACCAATAATGAGAAAAGGCATGAAATCTCAAAAAAAGTGTTAAGGGACTCAGTTGAGTCAATTCCGACTCGGCCAAGTTACTTGCACAAGCCACTTGCCAAGCCAAGTACTCATCAAGGTTATCAAATGCAAGATGCGAACTTGATGCGGTCAAGGACCAATGCGGGATGTGGCTCAAGATGTGCACATCACATGCAATGCAATCAATAAATATTAAAAAAAATAAAAAATAGAAAAACACTAAATTTTGATTTATCTAATAGGATAATTTAGTACTTTTCTCTAATGTAATAGACTTTTAGTCGCCTAACAGCCTGATAAAGAGTGACTTGTCTTATATGTAATATAAAGTAATCCATTTCATCCCAATAGCAATGACGATTAACAATTTAACATAACATCCAGAGACCTAAAAATACTCCACAATCAAAAGTTCACACCTACAACCTCACAACCACAACCTAAACATAACTTCCAAACTCCAAAGACCAAAATTTTAATAAGATATAAAATATAAAAGAAAATAAATACACCCAAGCTCAATGAGTCAATGTGCCAATTCTCAACTCTCAAGTCTTAATCAGATAAGTATCAGCTTCCAAATAACTATCAACTCTCAAGTCCCAACTCCCAAATTGAAAGAAATTTTGATATCTAAGATTTAGTCTCATAGGCCTTGAATCTTTCGAATCCTGGCTAAATTTTGACCATAAAACCTTCAAAATGAATCCTAAAACAATATCAAACAATCCACCAAAGATTCAAGAACAAACCTCAATCGTTTTCAAAAATTTTGAAAACATTAAAAAAATTTGTTTGTTTTTTATTTTAATCCCCTTGGAAGTATGGTTTTAAGGGTTTTATAACAACAAACCCCAACCCTCCTGGAAAACAAATATCATTTTCCCCTTTTCATCAATAAAAGTTACAATTTTGCCTTTGCATTGTGCATTGTGAGCAAACTTGTGGCCCACAAGTAGTGCCACATATGCAGGCACATCGCCCTAATGGGATGAGGCCACATCAACTGCATATGCAACCACATTGCAAAATCCCACATATGCAGTTAGGGGCAATGTGCCCAAAGTTGCATAACACGTTATGCAGCTGGATTTGATAGCAATGGTACTCGGGTAAAACTCGGGGTACTTAACAAAATTCATAAAGATTATATTAAAATATGAAATTTTTATAAATATTTTATATGTAGTTTGGATGTTTATGATGATGATTTGTGAGTTTTTCTTGTATTGTGCCTTATTTTTATATTTTCTTCTTTTTTGGATTTTTATAAAATGTCTCCAATGGTAAATCAAATACTCTAAATTCATGTTTTAAATTTTTTCCAAATTATTTGGACTTTCTATGTTGTTTTATTTTGAATATTATTATTTTCATTTTATTTTAATAGTTCTTTTGTATTTTTAGGGCTTTTTTAGCCATGTACACTACTCAAGCGAGGGGCAAGTGGGCTCGGGCCAGGGCTGATTCCCTTGCCCAAGCCAAGTTCCTAAACATAGTTCAAAACCAAACTATTAAGTGTTAAAATCGTAATTACATGCAAAGGCATACAATTTCCACGTACCATTTTGGAAATTAAATGATCATCAAGTATAGAACAATCTTGGTATAGAACAACCAGAATACCTAAGCAGTAAGTTCTTCGGTCATAGCCTTGAGGCACATTTTTCTCATCCACAAGGGCGCATTCAATTCCAGCACATACCAGAGATAATCCTTCCAACTGCATTTTCTTCTGAAAAAGTTAACGAACACCCGATTGATGCTTTCTGTCTGAGAGAATCTATGAGTCAACCTAAGATTGCTTCAAAGGGTATTTCATCTGCAACACAAGAGTTTTCATACTGAAACAAAACAAAAACAAACAACCAAAACCAATTCGTTGTTACACTTCCTTTGAAATGAATTAGATGAAAGTTTCTTATGAGGGGAAAAGGGGCCTCAAAGACTCAGTTTTGCTAGTACTATGTTCTAATGGACGACAAAGACTAATGCTTTAAGATAACTTCACAAACTAGGGTTTTGATTGAACAAAAACCATGGGTACTCTTAAAGACCTAAAGAAACACTAAAATAAGCAAAATACAGTATGGATCAGGATATCTGCTACAATAGAAAGAAAGAAAGAGGCGAAAAGAAACCACAGAAACTTGTACCTGATAAATAACAGAGCGTCAGCTGGATGTAAACTGAAAAGTGAGGTGAGGTAGCCTGGAAATGGGCTAGCAGGAGGTTGTGGAGATTAGGGTTTGGGCAGGCGGCGAGGAGGTAGATCACAGAAGCAAGCTTTGTTGGGAAATCCTGAAATGCAAAGTGAAGCAAAGGCGCGCCAAAGAGGAAAAGATCAGAGTTTTCCCGCGCGTTGGTGTTCGCGTGAAATGTGTATAACAAGTATCTGAAATCCAAACTAGTCCATATAATTTTCCCGAAATTGATGGGAATCAATAATTATTTTGCCCCAATATAACCCCATATTATCACAATAATTCATGAATTAATGGAAAAGTACACAATGATACCATTTACCATTGATACAAAATAATCACAATCAATATTGATCATTACATGTGAAATTAGTCAGCATCATTTATTTCATTGACCAAGCTCAAAGTTTAAAATAAATTTTCTCAAACTTTCTGACACACTCAAGCTATTAGATTTCATATCTATTAGTATTTGTGACTTCTTTGTACTAAATGTAAATAGTTTCATTCATCTGCCCACGGTTGTAAGCCATCCAAGAAGTAAAATAACTTGTCCTCCTCTAACATATCCCTTATGTCAAGCATTAGGATCGAGACTGCTTGACATAGTCACTAATGGAGCATGTTTGCTTAAGCTTCTTAATGCTCTTATTTGCAACCATATTCTCAGTCAAGATTTGAGCCTTAAGCTCCTCCCATGTGTCAATCTTGCACCGCCCCGCTTTGCACGTCCTCATAGCGAGTACACCACCATATCTTGGTTGTATACAATCTCATCATGATTACAAAAAACTCGTAACTTTCGTTTGGTGGGACTGGCTCAATCCTCCTACTCCTCTTTAGAGGCTTCACTTTCTCGTATAGGTGGAGGGTCAAGGGCTCGTTGTCTCTCTTCCTTTATTTGAGTGGTCTTTTTCCCCATTGTTCGCAACCTTTGTCGTAATATTACTAGTTTTAAGCAATATTTTGAAATCTACAATTTTCGATTTGGATATGGATGGGAATTGGTCGGGGCTAAACTATTTCTAGGATGGTATGGGTCACTGCCAAGTTCCCCCATAAAATGCCCTATTTTTTTTGTCCTTTTTCTTTTCAAGCTTAACTAATTTTTTATCAGGTCCCCTCTAATTCCCCATCCTATACTCTATCTTTTTTTTTTATGTAATTTCATTTATTTTAAATATTTGCTGGATCACTGATCCAGACCCAAACCTAATAATCGATTTGATGCGGATTTATAGGTGAATGATCTGCCTGAGAGATTAGGGTTTTGAAAAACTTGTTTTAAGGAATTGATCGCCCTAAACCCGTAGCATATACTTCACGCAGCTAATAATATTGGTTTGTGCTGGAGCTTAGGAGGGATGACTCGTGACCGCCCTATGTGTGAGCTATCATGGAACCATGGACAATAACCTCATTTAGGGTTTGATGTATTGCCTAAAAAATTAAGACCCACAAGATTTCATTGTATGACCAGGCCAGGGCTCGCCTACTTCAACTAGTGGGACTAGGCATTATGAATGCCCCAGCCCTGCCCAAAATTGGTCAAGGCCCTGAGCCAGAATTGGGCCAGGCCACTTTTAGCCCGGTTTGTGCATGGAAGGGGCTGTGCTCGGGCTAGCCCAGCTTAGGCTCAATCAGTTATTCACCCTATTGTTGTCCCGTACTGTCCCTCTTAAATTATATAATATTGTCCTTTTTTGTCTAGCCAATTCAACGATAAAGGTGATGCGAAAGGAGCTCGAGAAATGAAGCACAAATTTTGCTTAATCTTATAACAAGCCAACAACTAGCAACTCAAGAGAATAACAATTATTCTAAACAATTAGGTTGATTGGAAAGTGTTTCAATATATCATGGGAAGTATGGGTTTTTGATCGAGGTGGAGAATATGGATTGAGGGGTGTCTTTCATTTACTCATTTCTCAATTCTCATATACGGTGAGGCAACTGGATTATTTAGAAGTTCTAGAAGACTAAGACAAGGTGATCCTTTATCACCTTTTAATATACATTGATGGAATAAAGTTTTAGTATAATGCTAAGAGGTATATCATCACATGTTCTCATTTCAGGCATTAAGATTGAGAGCAACAATTTGACAATATCACACCTACAGTATGCATATGATGTTATAATTTTTTGTGATCCAAATGTTATGGAGATCAGTAGAATGTGGATAGTTTTAAAAAGTGTTGAAATAGAAACTAGGTTGAAAGTAAACCTCTTTGGAACCAAGCTGATTGGTATTGCATGTCCTCCACCCATAGTGTCAAGAATGTCTCGATTGTTCGAATGAAGTGTTGAGAATATATGCCTTACAAATATTTTAGTGTCCTTTTGGTGGATTCGAGACCTTCAAAGTCTATATAGGTAGTAGAGAGATTTAATAGAACATCGGATTTGTGGAAGTCAAAGACCTTACCTTTAGGAGGAAAATATGCACTTACTAAATCCACTTTATCCAATGTACCAATCTACTACATGTCCATGTTTAGAATGCCAAAGCGGATTATAAAGATTCTAGAGAGACTAATGAGAAATTTTTCGTGAGAAGAAATGAGGTTTGGAGATTCACAGTATGAAAAATATGAATTCTGCATCATTTTTAGAGAAATTTACACATATATCCGTTATAGTTTCCATTATTACGGTTACACCAAATAGTTTTTGTTATTATATCCTTATCCATTTTTTCATTTCAAAATGGAATTTAAAAAAAAAACGACTTGACCCTTTTTCGGTTGTTGAACAACCGAATTCAAGGGCTGTTCGGTTTTTAGGGATTAGCTCGTTTAAACTTCCCACTATGGTTTTACCGAAATATATTTGAATTCGGTTTGTCAACAATCGAAATTGTACTGGGCTTGTTTAAATTCCTGGATCTGTTTCTTTTGCTTCACCGGTCAGGTATTGCTCATTCCCCCCATTTCTGTTCTGACATTCAAAACAATATATTTAAATCTGGATACAAGTATTTTGACGGATCATAACTGCATTTGAAGCATTTTGAGGGCATTTGACGGATTTATAATATGTAGTGAAGGAATGTATAATTTGATTTCTTGTTCGATTTTTAGAAGTTAACATTGATAAAATTATGATTTAGGGTTTCATACTTGAGTAGAAGCGGTCAATTTAGGGTTTATTTGATGGATTTTACAGATTTTTTAATGACAATTTGTTTGAGTGATAGTTGGAATTTTTAAGAAGTGCAATTATTTGGGGTTTGTAATAACTGTAAATTTGGAGTTATTTTTAGTTCTTGGATGCTATACATGAGTTATTGAGTTATGTCTTTTTTTTATTTATTGTTTAAGAATTTCTAAATTTGGGGTTATTGAGAACTACAAATTTGAGGGTTCTATTAGAACTCGAAATGAATTAATCTGCAATTTGAAATCAAATAGCTTAAGATAGCTAGATGTGTTGTTGGATGTTGCCTTTGTATTTGAAAATGTATAACTTATGCTATATCGGGTTTGCAATTTGCAGTTTGCAATTTGAAATGAGTAGTACTGAAAATTTTGGGGTTTATCTGTAGTTGAATAGGTTTGTGTTTTGCGACTGTATATAAATGAATCCATTTGTAATTTGAAATCTGTAGCTTTATACCAATGTTATTGGATGTTGCATTTGTCTTTGAAAATGTATGAATTATGCTATGTTGGACTTGTAATTTGAAATGAGTAGCTTAATAAAAATTGTTGGATGTTACTATGTGTTGTTAAATGTTGTTGTCTGTATTTTGTTGTAATTAACATTTGGATTATAATAAATGCAAAAAACAAGAGTTGTCTTTAATTCATTCCCTTTGAACCAATGTCTTAGTTGTCTGAAACGGTACCTTAGTTGCTGATTTCTTTGATTTATCATAGCTGCATGGGCTTATAATGAATGGGTGGGGGTTTTGTAAGTTGAAATTTCTTATAGCATATATTTTGAATAGGGACATAGATGGTACAAAGATGAATAGGTACATAGATGGTATAGAACATTGTTTTAGTTATCATATAAAAACATTTTTTTTGCATTCATTACTTCATGCCCATTCCATTGTTAGTGATATATGATTTACTAATATATGGATTACATATGAGTTGCAAATGTGTTAGTAACTCCATTTGTAATTTGGATTGCTATTTACCTTGAATATTAAAACAATGCTTGTGGGTTTAGGAGTACGTAGGTAATAAATAACTTTATGCATACTATTTGTAAATATGAGTGGTATTTGATATGTAAATTTATTATCATATTCTTTTGTTAGAGTTGTATTCTATATGTAAATACATGATGCAATTTTAAAATGCATGATAAGTTACTTTTGTCTCGATTTCAGTGAATATGAATCGTATCCATCCAGAGGGGGGATTCCCTGGAGGTCCTCAAGATCCTAGTTTGCTATAGCTTTACTCAAAACATTCATCATATTTCATATGGGAAGGACATGTATATGCATATATTCATCTGCTCTTTCCATTAGTTTGTTATTTTTCAATAAATTGTAGTTTGTTTCAACATCATATGAGAAATACATGTGTATTGTGACTCGTATGTTTTCTATTTATTGTATTCTAGAAAAATAAGAAATTAGCATCGACGAGAAGACTTTTCAATTGAACGATTGGCATCTAACTAATGAGCAAGTTTAATTAGTGAACTCGTCTGGGTTGGGTACTCTATCTATCATCTGCTCAGGTCAAATTTATGATCATTTGGTCGCAGCCAATGTAGAGAGGTAGTGTTCTGAGACAAATTCATTCCATTACAACATTCAAATTGGTGAGATGAAACTAACTTTATTTGATGTGTACGAGATTTTAGGACTGGTTCTGGATGACGAGCCTGTTACATGTCATCCTATTAGTGACCTCCCAGAGTTCATAGAAAACAATTTGGATATAGTTTCCACTAGAGGCAACCTGGCAACCATTAAGAATTAATGGTTGAAGGAAAATTTTAGGGAATTGCCACTTGATGCAACCCATGTGGAAGTACTCAGATATACTCGAGCTTATCAGCTCTTCCTCATCGGTGTTACCATTTTCGCTAATGCATCAGTTGCAATAGTGCCAACAAGATACTTGTATTTATTTGAAGATATTGAGGAAACTGGGAG